CATCGTTATTACTTCAAGAAAAGCAAATTGAAAAAAATCTAAAAGTACAGGTTATTTATAGTTTTTATGTAACATTGGACATTTAGTAATGCAACTTAGTGGGCTTTGTGCAGTGACTTTCCACTTGTTCCATGATTGGATTGGAGCATTAAAAAGCCATGACAGGTTTTGACAGCTGGCACTTTGGGAAGAAGAACCTACTACATTTTCCTCTCAGGATTAATACTGTAGCTGGCTAATTGATGAGGGTACTTAATCATTTTAGAAAATAACTTGTCTTTCACATGGTGGCCCAAATAAAGGAGAAAAATGTAGCCTATGGAATATGATTCTGCATTCACGGATTTCCTTGTCTTGGGGCTTGGTGTTGCCAACTGTTGCCCAGGATTGACTCTGTCAACTGAAACTCTCAAAAGGCCACTGCTCCCCTTACTTTGTTGGTTCAGGAAACAATCCAACTTTAAAGGTTGCCCTTTAAGAAGAATCTTCTAGTAAGATGATGCACTTCCTTTTATAATCTATTGACAACTGAATTCAAGGTCATGTTTTTCCAGATCTGGAGAATAGACTACATATGAGAACATTGTTGGAAAGCTCATGGAAATCAATCCAGAAACTGTAGACCATCCAGCTCTTTCTTTAGATGGATGCTTCCTACTGTTTTGCTTTAATTCAACAGGCAGCAATTCTAAAAGAAGTCCTTTACTTACACTTGCCTTTATTTGATGTTCATCATTCTGCTGAATTTGTAGCATGCATAATATGTATACATTTTTTTGGAAATTTTTCAGCTCTGTACATTTTCCAACTGTGTTTCTTATGTTTTTAATGCTAAAATGGTAGAGTTTTTGTGTTTTGGGTTTTTTTTTTTAAATTTGAGTAAAATAAGATGCTAAATATGCACTCGAACTAAAAATGTATAAATGGCAGAATTCTTTGGAATTGAATTTGAAAAGTGCACCATGAGTGATGTGACAAAACTCTCTTCACAAAGGCCGAGCTCATATTGAAAAATGACTAAGTGGAGTTGTATGTCTTAGAGAACCCTTATCTCACAAAGATATTCACCCAATAGTCATGACTAATGTGACTAAGGGGTGTGAATAAAAGACTTGTTTTTACAAGGGGTTCTAGGTGCTTATATCATGCCTCTTGCTTGGCAGGAAGGAGTTTGCCCCAGGGAGTGGATAATGGGAACCCTGCTGGTTTGTGCTTGTTTGTCATCAGTTCTCATTGTGGGGAGGTAAGGTCTGGGTCATGTTACATCACACCGCCTTCTTTTCCAGACAATCCTCAGCAGTCAGAAGAAACCAAGTTGTACCTTTATGAAATATTTAATATATTTGGGCTGGAGAGATGGGTCAGCATTTAACCGCATGACTGTTCTTACAGAGGACCTGGGTTTGGTTCCCAGCACACGCATGGTGGCTAACAACTGTCTGTAATTCTACTTCCAAGGGATCTGACGCCCTCTTTTGACCCCTGTGGGTATTGAACACATGGTGCACTTACATACATGCAGACAAAACACTCATACACATAAAATAAAGATAATAAACTATTTCTAAAACCAAAAATAAGCCAGTCATGGTGGTGTACACCTTTAATCCCAGCACTTGGGAGGCAGAGGAGGGCAAATCTCTGTGAGTTCAAGGCCAGGCTGGTCTACCTAGTGAGTTCAAGCCAGCTGGGGCTACAGGGATACCCTGTCTCAAAAAAAAAAAAAAAAAAAGAAAGACAAAAAAATAAATAAATGTGATTATTCCTCTATTCATATGTGCTTAGCTCCCCCGCCCCCTTCCTTGAATGAGAGCAGTTTAGAGCTGTTTGGTGTATGGTAGCCAGACAGGAGGTGAGGTTTTGTCTGAAGGAATAGAGAGGGATCATTGAAAGTAATCTGTGTTTTGATGTTTGACTCTCCTGTCTTAAGACAATCTTTAAAAAAAAAATAGCAAGTTCACTGTATGTATGGTTTATTCTTACCCCCTTGTAAAAGAAATAAAATAATAAAGCACAGAATCCAAATAAGTAGTTTTTGAGAGGCTTGGAGAAACAGTGCTTTCTGCTCCTATGCTCCCTCTTTTGGCAAACTGGAAGTATTTCCTTGGTCACTGGTAATTTCACAATTTCCTTTCTAGAATTGCTGAGAGGCTTGCATCAACACTAAGTTTACTGTTGTGGAAATTCACTATTCAGAACATAGGAAGAAATGAAAGATAACTGTTTTTCAGTGAAAGTCCTGAGTTTTCAATTTAGGGTGTAACATCAGGTTCCTGATAAGGAAGCTTCTTAATCTCAAACACGGTAGACAGCCCAACTAATAATTATAGGATTCTGGCACTTGAAAGAGCCTCAGCTTGGGTAATGATTTGTTGAAGGGAGCTCTGAGGGAGCTTCCCAGCCTCTCTCCAGGGCAGAAGTCAGTTTGCTGCCCTTGTGGAAAATTGCTTTCAAGCCCTGGTAGAGTAACCCAGTGCAGCTCACTCCTCACAAGGGAGCCTGTGCCATTGTTAAGAAGCACAGCCACATTACTGTGGTGTGAAAGCTTAGCAAACTCAGGATAGGGTTGGTTGAAACATTAATTATACAAAGCAACAAATTAACAAATTTTATCTTCTGAACTTCTGTAATCATGATGATGAAGAAAGCACTTGGGGCTGGAGACATGGCTCAGTGGTTAAGAGCACTGGCTGCTCTTATATAGGACCCAGATTCGATTCCCAGAACCCACATGGTGGCTAACAACTATCCATAACTCCAGTACCAGGGTTATCTGACACCGTCTTCTGGCATCCACAGGTATCACATGACATGGGTGCACTTACTTACATGCAGGCAATACACTCATACACATAAAATTAAAATAATAGAGCCAGGTGTGGTGCCGCACGCCTGTAGTCCCAGCACTTGGGAGGCAGAGGCAGGTGGATCTCTGTGAGTTCAAGGCCAGCCTGGTCTACATAGTTCCAGGACAGCTGGGGCTACAGGGAGACCCTGCTTCAAAAAGACAAAAAAGAAAGAAAGAAAGAAAGAAAGAAAGAAAGAAAGAAAAAAAGAAAGAAAAAAAAAATTGAAATAATAAAATATTTTTTAAAAGAAGGAAAAGCCAGGCATGGTGGCGCATATCTTTAATCCCAGCAGAGGCAGAGGCAGGTGGATCTCGGATCTCTGTGAGTGCAAGGTCTGCCTGGTCTACATAATGAGTTCCAGGACAGCTGGGTTACAGAGAGGCCCTGTCTCAAAAAGACCAAGGGGGAGGGTGGGGGAGAGGAGGAGGAGGAGGCCCTTGAGCCATTACTAATCATGGGGCGGGCTCAGAACCAATGTAATTCTCACAGTAGGTAGGACAGTTATGCCGGTTTCATAGCTGAGGAAACTGAAGTACAGACTTCTACACTGTGACCATGTAATGACTGTGGCAGAGTCAGAGTCCAAAACCTGTGCTCTACACTACTGTGTTGCCATGTGACCCATCAAATATGCATTTGTTAGCAAGTCTGTGTCCATTTATGTGCTGTAGTGTGCATTAAATTATGCTTAGTGCTGTTTATTATAAACAGTACATTTTAGGAGGCTGGAGAGATGGCTCAGTGGTTAAGAACACTGGTTGTTCTTGCAGAAGACCCAGGTTCAAATCCTAGTACCCACATGGCAGCTAATAACTGTCTGTAACTCCAGTTCCAGGGGATCTGATGGCCTCTCCTACCTTCCACGGGCATTGCACGACATGGGTGCACTTACCTACATGCAGGCAATACATGCATACATATAAAATAAAAATAATAAATAAAATTTTTTTTTTGAAAAAACTAGTGTGTTTGCCGGGCGTGGTGGCACACACCTTTAATCCCACCACTCAGGAGGCAGAGGCAGGCAGATCTCTGTGAGTTCAAGGCCAGCCTGGTCTACATAGTTCCGGGACAGCTGGGGCTAGAGGGAGACCCTGTCTCAAAAAGACCAAACAAACAAACAAACAAATAGTACATTTTATAAAACCATGTTTGCTCACTGTATTTGAAGAATAAATTCTATTTAATACTTGAAAATAAGCTCTATCAATCATGAGGAAATTATTCTAAAAATGATGTCAGATAAAGTCATTAAAGAATTTGCTTATGGGGCTGGAGAGATGGCTCAGTGGTTAAGAACACTGACTGTTCTTGCAGAAGACCTGGGTTTGAATCCCAGCACCCACATGGCAGCTAACAACTGTCCATAACTCCAGTTCCAGGGGATCTGACGGCCTCTTCTGTCCTCCTCAGGCATTACACAACACAGGTGCACTTACCTACCTGCAGACAGTACACGCATACACATAAAATAAAAATAATAAATATTTTTTAATTTTTTAAAAATGTTATGTGAGGCAGGGTGTGGTGGCACATGCCTTTAATCCCAGCAGAGGCAGGTGGATCTCTGTGAGTTCAAGGCCAGCCTGGTCTACATAGTGAGATCCAGGACAGCTGGGGCTACAGGGAGACCCTGTCTCAAAAAGACCAAAAAAAAAAATTTTATGTGTGTGAGTGCACCCATGTCATGCAGTGCCCGAGGAAGTCTGAAGAAGGCGTTGGATTCCCTGGAATTGGAGTTAAGGATGGCTTTTAGCCACCATATGGATGCTAGGAATTGAACCGGGTCCTCTGCAAGAGCAGGCAGTACTCTTAACTGCTGAGCCATCTCTCCAGCCCCTTTGGGCTGTCCTGGATTCACTATGGAGACGAGGCTGGCCTTGAACTCACAGAGATCCGCCTGCCTCTGCCTCCCAAGTGCTGGGATTAAAGGCGTGAGCCACCAGGCCCAGCTGTAAGTTACCTTTTAAGTCTGTCTCTACTGGTGTTAAGTTATGATATTAGAGTAGATCCAGTTTTTACTTTATGAACAATATTGCAATGGAACATAAAATTGAAATACAATAAAATTATTAAACAGGACCACAAAATATGGTTATTTGGTTAAATCCAGAATTATCAAACAGTTGTGTAGACATTTGTTGCCTTTCTCTATGAAAACTCCAAAAGAGGCAGCTTATTTCTAAACCAAAGAAATTTGAACATGCCATTTTATTAACTGAAGACTGAAACTCAAAGCCTCTTCATTTATTTACATGTAAATATCATCTTCTGTATGTACGGACCATGCTAAGTTATGAAGCATAAAATCAACAACACCTGGATTTTGCTTTCAGAAAACCTCATAACTCTGTCTGAAGTTTGGCTCAGCAAGTATAAAGGTGCTTGCTGCTAAGCCTGACAACCTGAATTCCATCCTGGAACCTGTGTAGAAGAGAAAGATGAGAGCCAGCTCCTGCAAGTTGTCCTGTGACCCTCCCCCCCCACACACACAGAGCCATGTAGAAGTGAAAGAAAAGAGCCAGCTTCTACATGTTATCCTATGACCTACACATTCAGACACACGCACATGCATACACACAGCCATGTAGAAATGAAAGAAGAGAGCCAGCTCCTACAAGTTATCCTCTGACCTACACACACACACACACACACACACACACACA